AATAAGTTTCGAATCGCTGATCTCGATTATATGATTCCTGGCCAACGAAGCAGTGTCTGACTTTGACGGGTCTCTGACCAGCGGACGGATGCCGGCCCAAGCGCTCAGGACGTCGCCCCTTCGCACTAAATACATTCGTTGCAATGAAAGCCGACAAAGACAGCAGTGAGAAAACCGCTAATATCTGATGCCAGATAGCTGCGAATTTCCTTCAAGATGAACGCGATGTCGGTTTCGCCTGGCGCAGGTGAATCGGTGACGCAACATGGTGAATCGGTCGTGCCGGCGATGGTCATATTTTCCCATGGAAGAAAAAAGATGACGCGACCGTCACTGGTCTGCGGATCGAACAGACCGGTATTCATAGGACTGAAAAAAACAACCTGCCTGTATTTACCTCTGCACCGCTTGCAGCAGCCGCCAATCATTCAACAGGTACCAGTAATATTTTGGCAGAATAACGTGTACGCCTTGCGACGGTACGACGAGCAACGACGACTTTGGATTGTCCATAAGTCGAATTTTGTCACAGAATGAACCGGTTGCATTAATGACACACTTCGCTCTGATGTCAAACACTTGACCTGCAATATTTTTTAAAATTCATATTTGTGTATTTTTGTTTCACAACTATATATAAAGCCAGAGCCTGGATGGGAGCACTCATGTGTCTGTAACCGAGTTCCGGCGGACGAACGCATATTATTCATGTTTAATGACAGCATACAAGAAAACTTGATACTCCGGCATTCAATAAAATAATGCGACATGCATTTAGCACTACAGGTGCTAAAATACCACAAAATTTTCTGCTTAAATGCTCTTTACGCATCTAAGAATAAGCAGAGATGTAGTACATTTAAATTAATTTCGGCTGAAATTAAAGTTGAATAATAATTATATATTTAACATGATCCTAAAAGCAGCAGTACAGTAAAACACGTTTCAAAGTGAGTTTCGAGGGAGAGAGATAACTAAACCAGCGTAATGGACGATACAGAGAAGTGCAGATACTCTGGGACGTCCTAAGTCAATCACAGAAATATCGATCAGGATAAATTATTGATGGGAGCAAATAATCGACATAATGTAACTGGCTCTGGATGACATTGACATTGCTGCTAACGGACGACAAAAGTTCAAATTAGCAAGAATTGAAGAGGGAAGTAGAAAAGACGTGAAAAATAAAGGCGGAAATCATCCGTTGTGGCTGGTGCCTTTGGAACAAATGAGAAACGCCCATAAGCACCTACTAAAGCCAACTGATGAAACGATCAAAATCGAACTTAAAATTAATTTCTGTCTTTACCGGCACTGGCCGATTAGCATTCAGGAGTAAAAGCGATTCGAGATTCAGTTCAAACCATTAAAACTTTGGTTCTACTTGCCAGGTATACTATTTTCTTTACCTCAAGTGTTGCTGTTTTTCTCTTAATTTTGATGCACGTTAAGAGGACGAAAAAAATTGAAGGTCAGAGTAGAACACTTTGAGAGAAAATGTACTCAGTAATATTCTCTTTTGCTAATATGGTAACTGCAGATGATCCACAAAACGTCGAAAATATAATCGCGCTGACCGATTCACTATGGAAAGAGAAAAACGCAGAATGACAGCTGTGACAGGAAGACAGAGAACTAGGGTTTATACTGAGCTAATATATTGCCGATGACAACGTCCATCTTGTGGTCACAGTAAGACACATTTTGCTACGTTTGCATATTCAGTCGTACCGGTAAGGTTGTCCTTCACTTTAGCACCTCTGACTACGTTCTGTCCAGTCAGGTGATCGTGCTCTTTCAGCAAGTCCACCACCTCAGCGTGGTTCAGACATTGGCTACCTCGTCGAATAGCCGTCAGTATGATCGACAGATTCATACGGGCATCGTTGTGTTGACCTGTAAGAGCAAAATTTGATAGAAATAAAAATAACTGCCACTCACCGTCGTAATAGATTAAGGCACCGCATAACGATTCCTTTTTCAAGAGCGGGAACAGCTCCAATGCTTTGTTTTTGCTGATATAAAACGACGGCTTCAATCGCCGCTTTCCGGCAACAAAGTCGTACATCTTGATACCAATGTAATAATACGGCACCTGCCACCAGCTAATGAGCAAGATTACAGGTATCAGACAGACAGACGAACAGATATGTCAATGAATTACGACGAAAATAGAGTATATATTATCCCTTATTAAATAGGGTAAGTAAACGGATAGTCATATGAGAAATGGAAACCTTATGATAAGTTGAAGTGCCACTAAGAACCTGAATCCACTACACTTTGCAGTTAGTACCAAACAGCCACAAAGAAATTCTTCATGCTATGTCCTTGTCATGAACTTGACTTCATCCATTAGCCCAAATATATAATTATCACGAGAGTCCTCGACGGAAAACGAACATAGCTTCCAAAACCAAACTTCGCCATTTTACAGTGTGATGAGGTTCTGCTAAGCGCTCAAGTTCAGCAGTTTACCTCATCGACCGCCAATAAGGCCGAATAACGTCGCTCCAGACTGAACTCGAGAATAGAAAAGCGAAGACCCAGTCGGTGGACAAACATAAGTAAAGAAGCACGCATGGCTAGAAGGGTTTGTTCCCTTGTATTTAAAATGCTAGACTAATGATTGATATATCAGTATATCCGTCAGGAAGTATTTATCCCATAGTTTTATCATCGGTTTGTCCTGTTCCCTAACCTGCATTTAATTCAGGGAAGCAAGTTCACTTATCAGGGTTGAAATACTGCTAAGGCAAACACAGCGGCTCACAATGCATTTTTAGCCCAGAATCAGATGACCGTGAAAGCAGTGGCAATGCAAGGATACCAGCGCGCATTTCGAATCTAGCTAAGATGAAAGGAAGATTTATCACTGTTAAAATGCTGGCTTACATCACGCTTTTATGACTAACGAATGCTATTTATCGCTTCAAGTAAAGAAAGAACTCACAACGCGGTTCTAATCCCATATCCGTTACTTATGCTAAATCTACAAAATCAGTACACGAAGGCTGTCTGGCAGGCAAAGGAAATGGCTAATGACCCCGCCGGCACTCC